TGTGCCACCTCCTCTTCCCCCTTGTGCAACCTCTTGCTTGTCCTTGTGCGAACTGCTCCTCCCCCTCCCACTCCGTCTTCCGATCTCATCCTCCCGCTAACGCAACCTCTGTGCGACCTCCTCCTCCCCCTCGTGCGACCTCCTCCTACCCCTCGCTCTACCCCCTCCTCCCCCTCGTGCGACTTCCTCCCTCTCTTCCGACCCTCCTCCCCTCGCGCGACCTCCTAATCCTTGTGCGACCTCCTCCTCCATTCACGCGTCATCCACCTCTATTCCGACCTCCTCCCCCTTGCGCGACATCCGCTTCCCCTCGCACGACCTCCTCCTTGTGCGACCTCCTCCTCCCCCTCGTGCCACCTCCTCCAATCTCTCTTCCTACCTCCTCCCCCTTGTGCGATGTGGTTCTTCCCCTCTTCCGACCTCCTCCTCCTCCCGCTTGCACAACCTCCTCCTCCCCCTCGCACGACCTCCTCCTCCCACTCTCCGACAGCGCCCGAATAGTAGCATGGGAAAAACCACCCAAAAGGCGGGGATTAAAAAAAAAAAAAAAAAATGCGTTTGTCTGCTCCCTTCCAAGTGCGAGGCGCGCGGCAGCGAGTCCGCCTGGGCCCCATGCGACACGTTGCGTTTTCGTCCATTTTCCGTACGCGCTTCCGTTTTCAGCCTGGCGCACGGCAGCGAGTCCCTCTGGGCCCGACACGACGCAGGCCTCTCCGGGCCTCCATGAACCACCGCGGCCAAATTCCACGCGCCGCGGTCTCTGTCACGCCTGCAGTGCCGCCGCGAAACGCCGTGCCCTTATTCCTTGCCCCGGGCCTCCACGAAACGCCGCGTCCGCTTTCCTCGCCCAAGTCCCGTGCCCCTCCACACCGATTTTCGCTGGGCCCGGCGGGACGCGTCACGCTGGGCCCTTTGCTTGCTGTAGGAGTATTATATATATATATATATATATCGTCAAATAGAACTGCCCGGTAAACCGTAGGCAGAGAGGGAGAAGAGGACAACAAACGAGGGGCTGTGACAAACTGTTTCGTCGGAGTTTCACCGACTCATCATATATTGTCACAGAACTATTGACTAAGAGCATGAGCATGTGAAGTAGAAGAAGAAACAAGATGAGCAAAGAAAAGAAAAATGAAAGGAAAGACAGGCAAAGAGACAGACAAACCAGAATGACACTTTGTTTCACAGTATTATTATTTCTTTCAGTCTTTTACAAAAATTATTTACACTGAATCAAAGGATCAAAAAACAAAGACACATTGAAATCATTCAGTTTCTCAGTCTTCTTAACGCCTCCTCCACTGTGCCTCTAACGTACAAGGCTCGCCACGTTGATCC